GTGCTGTGCGGTATGTGGATTAGGTCAAGATACTCCACTTCTCTGGTCTGGTTGATAACATCGTTCCAACAGTAACCCATTCGCGATTTCTAGCTTGTAAAAGAGCTCTCTGACCATGATAATCAGCAGAAGTAGCGATTTTTTAGGTAGTATTTATTCTTATCGCAAACCCAGATTTATCGAAGTTGAAGATATTATTCGAGCCGATACCATATTTTGAATGGTTTCTTTAGCCAGTTTAAACCATGACATAATAATTCTAGGATCTTCATAAAGAGCCCTCTTATAGTCATATTTGCGAGATAAACGTGTCATAAGATTTGAACGGCGTTTAACGAATTCTGTAGCCCAATTTTTTCCAACAGAAAGGGTGGTAGCAGAGATTGTCTTTTCGCGCAATTAAAGTAGTAAATTGGCTATATCTCGCAACATAGGCCAAATTGAAAGTTGCGCCTCTCGAATCCATAGAGATTAACCAATCTTCTATTGAAAATTCTTCAAGCTGGGTAAATTTATGGCCATTTGACCATTTATTATGCTTTTTTGGCGACCCTTTATTCGAGCTGAGAGGGTAGTACGTGGCACTTCAAAAGAGCGGACAGCAGCAGCAATAGAGGGAATCCTGCCATTTTTAATAGCTTCTACAGCAAGTAGAAGACGACCCTCTTGCTCAATCAATTTTTGTGTTTTCTGGGGTCTTTTTGGAGGCATGGTGGTGGTTTAAAAAATGTAAACAATGGTTGCTAAGGGAAAATTTGATGGGGTGACCGGTCGACCAGGAATCACGTTAGTTAACTAGGTGGCCGCACCGGCCACTCAATACACAAGCTATCCATCGCTTCCCACAATACCGGAAGGTTCCTGGCGGAAGGTTCCTTACAATATTATCCTATCCGTGAAGGCAAGCTACCAATTCCTGATACTTGTACGGCTATCACAAGGGTCACAATAGGCCTCCCATGAATTCACATTATTAAGCAGTGTATTGATTGCCTGAAATCTTTGCAAATCAATGACTTTCATTGGCACTGGCATCTTTATTTGCTTAGCAATATGCCTCCGCTAGATGCCCGCGCAATTATCTTGGAGCCTCGTATCGTGCAAGGTCGAGGAAGGCCATCTGGCTCGTTGAATAATACAATCTAACTACCTCCGCCTGAATCGTCAAGACTAAACCAAATTATTGGCACTTCACGAGAGCCTTCGGAGTTTGAAAAGGTCTTTGACCATGAGAAACCTCGCAGAGGCAGGCCTCCAGGATCTTCAAAGTCCCCTTCATCAAAACCTCCAGCTTTGTCACTAAAGAAGAGAACTAATCCCCCCTGCTCATCTCCACCAGTATCCTTTGACGACGAGCCCGTGTTGTGCAACGAATCAGACGACCCTGACCATTCTAACGATTCTGCTACTGAATCGCACGATTCCGAAGAGATCAGTAAAGAGCTTTTCATTCTTAATCTGGCTCCGCCTTCGTTTCCGCCTTGCAAGCGAGTAAGAAGACCTGCCAGCTTTTATATCCGATCTTTTTCACTTGACCCTCTTGCGGCGCCGACGAACCAGATATCTCGATATAGGAGGAGACTCAGGCTCGTGAGACAGGATAACGACAAATATCTGTATCATTAGCTACTTTTAACGACTTTTTCTTCATGTATAATGTACTAACGATAATGCACTAATGATGTTTCTTGTACTAATCCTAATTGCTTAAAAACTACGTTTAATGGATTTTCCATGCTTAATATAACAGCTTTAATAAAAGCCAAAAATCGTGTATTCTTGTTGCGCTGCAATTCCTATATACTCCCGCTCGTCTGCTTCCCGATTAGGAAGGACCCCTGGATGACATCCCCTCTCGAGGTTACTAACTAATCCCCTGACTCCTGTTGACTAATCAGAGCGAGGGCCGGTGTGCGCGTAGCGAGACCGGTGTGCGTGTAGCGTCCCCCAAATCTAAGAAGGATTCAACTTACTATGTATAGAGATGGCTCCGCTCCAGCTGAGATTCGGTACCGATTTAGATCCTGTCTGGTCTCAGTCGGTTTTGCAATAAATTGCATATTATTTTTCACTGTATTTGGTCTCCCCAAAAGTAGACTGACAACTATAGCAACCCAGTGTCGCAACTTTACCAGAAGCTTTTACGTGACATACAAGCCATCTACCTAACCTTGTTCGCCAGATTTTAATTGAATTTACCCATAGGTCTCTGTAATGATTAGCCATAAATGCACGGTCTTCCCAAACTTACCCACAAATGAGCTCAGAAAAAAAAATCACAACATATAACAACTCTCTTTAACTCAACACTGAATCCAAAACAATGAAGTACCCTTGTCGAGAATCACTGCAGCAGCTTCATCTTCAGATAGGTAATGACTGTTTACTGCCAGTCTCCTCCCATCTATTTGATGCCTTATTATACGAGAGGGAGCACGAATCACTGCAATCTCGAATCTTGGAGCTGTGTCCACCATACCTTTGGCACCAGGGATCTCATAAGCTCGCTTGTCCAAGACCAATCCTCGTTACAGGGCAGCATAAGGAGAAGCTTTCGAGACTTCATGGTGCTCTAGTCACTGCGATTACAGACATCGTCGAGCGCTGGTGGACAGACCCCAATGCTAGATTCTCAGCGCGTATGCCTCTGGCCAAAGAGGAGGAGGATTTACTACGTGTTTGTGTCCCTGTCTCTATTCCCTTTCTGCGAGATGTATAACCAGCTCAAAAGGGGCAACATGTATCTCCCACTAGTGTATAAGAATCTGCATTTATTGACGTATAGAACAGTGGATAGACAAGGAGCATCTCCCTTATCGGAATCAGGTCGGTTCTTGGAGACCTGATTTCCTCGTCGAGGACAATACCACAGACGGCGAAGTAGCTGAGAACTTCCGCATCACTGAAATCAATGCTCGGTTTTCTTTTAACGGATTCATGCACCAAGCATATGGACAACTTGGCTTGAAAAACTTGGGCGTGGGAGAAAACGGTGTCGTGCCCGCAACAAAACCAGCCGATGTAAGCAACCCCGATCGCTCTTCATACTCTTGCTAATTGATCCACAATCTAAACAGACCTTGAAAGGAATGCTGAAACTTCTCCGTCTGGACCAACCACTCCACCTGCTGAAAGGACAAGAGCCAGGGATTGACATTCATATGGTCATTGATTTTCTGCACCGTGAACTGGGTATTAGCCCACGGCTTGTGAGCCCTGCTGACCTGCGGATACTCCCCGACCCTCAGAGCTCGAGCAAATTTAAGCTCTATTGCGTGGTGAAGAACACTAGCCCGCTGTGCGATTCAGCCCTTCCGCTCCGAATTACCGACGACGGGATGGCAATAGAAGAGGTACACCAGATTGGCCTAGAGTTGCATCAGCATGAGCTCTTCGGCATGCCCACCGAGATGCTACGCCAGATCAGTCTACGTTGCTTCAACGACATGCGGACCATCCTCTTGGTTCATGACAAGCGAATGCTCGGCATTGTCAAGCAGGAGATTCCGGACCTAAGGAGGAGGGGCATCTTGACCCCTGTCCAGGCGAGGGCACTGGAAAATGGAATAGCTGATACAATAATTCCTGGCTCGACAGAGCTGAAGGACCTGATCCGGCATTCGATTCTCGACGACAGGGAGCTGAAAAATGAATACCTCCTCAAGCCTATTCGAGGGGGCAAGGGTGCCGGAATCATCTTTGGCGATGAAATGAGTCCCCCAAAGTGGATCGGCACTTTGGCGCGTCTTTGCAGCCCTTACCCGGTCTCTGGGGCTACCACTTATGTGGTACAGCGCCGAGTACATGCGCGCCTATACGAAGTCGTCCTGAAGCCATGTGGAGAGCTGAATCAGTACCCGCTCATTGGGACATACCACTCGGTTCATGGTCAGTTTTTGGGATTCGGGATTTGGCGTAGCAGCCCACAGAGAATCTGCGCTGTTAGCAATGGCGGAAGCTGGATGTGCACTGTGATGAAAGAATGCTAGCCTAGGTCTGCATGTGATATCTCTTCCTATCTACAAGCCAATGGTTTATTTCAGCCTATCCTTATTGCGTAAGCGGCTGTATCATGGCTATTGAAATAAATGGAGAGGACAGCTGAAGCACAAATTCACGATCTTGAGCGCCACAAGCCAGGAGAAACTGTCTTCAAGAAAGGCAGGCACTGAACGACGAAACGAAGCAAACAAAGTCTTAAATTGCTGCTTATTTTGATCAGTACCCAAAGCGCCCAGACCATTTGCTGACAGCATTCAGATCCATTAGACCGAGCTCTCAGTATTGATCAATTACGTAAAAAGCTTTCTCTTCTTCAAGGCCTTCGAAGATCACTTTGTGAGCTAGGTAAGAATAGGGCTTGGATAGATTTAGAGCCATTTTTAATGTATGGAAGGCTGATATGCAAGGCTGATCCTCAGACTCCACCATCGCCTTGTGGTGGAATTTGTTGATTCTGGTCAGCCCACGGCATTTCGAACGGGACCGGCGCGCTTCTTCCTCAGCACACTTGGTAGGACAGCGCACAAAACCCTTTGTGACATAGCGCTGGAAAATGCATGATGTATGTCATGTACAGCTATCTTGCCATCTTGTATTTTCGATCGCTAACCCCTGCACCTGTAGTAACACTGCCGCGCAGATGCGCCGGCAGAATAGGCCACACACTACCAATGCCCGTACCTAGCTAGGTATATAAAGCAATGACGTGAATGGATAGAAAAGTATACATAGAATGAGTCAACGCTGAACCGGTTCATTCAGTCCTTGCATAATCGTTGTGACCAGTATAACAAACTGTTGGACCGCTTCTCCTTCCTGATGTACTTTAATGTGTCACCTGATCCACAGTAGATAGCTCTCTCGCAGCTACGCTGCATCTTGAGGAATTCAAGCACCTTTCTCATCTTCATCGCACCGCGATCCTGACACAAACTTACCAAGATGCAACGCATCGAGCCTTACATCCACCGCACCGTCCTGAGACGCAGGAATTGTCCAGACAGCCCAGGACTTTCCCGCTCTTGGATACGAGGATTGTCAACACGAATACAGCCCGAGGCTATTCCGGGCCTACCTCATATCATTGCAGATGGGCTTGATTGCACCCAACACCCCGAACACGTGCGCAATGTGAACGAGCAGCTCGACCGTCACGGCATTCTCAAAGTCAGCCTGCGCTTTCCAGACGATGAAAGCCAGTATCTTCGAAACCTAGTCATTAGCCTCCACAGACAGCACGGCCATGGGCTACCAATCTCCCACAGCGCCACCAAGGGATGGTTCTGGGACGTGCGGCCGCAAAGTACCGATTTTCAGACGAAGGGCCACCAGGCTAGATCGGAGACGATGCAGGAATTTCCCTGGCACACCGACTGCAGCTACGAGGAGTGCCCACCTAGGTTTTTTGCGCTTCATATCCTCCAACCGGATCGCTGCGGTGGCGGCACGCTTTCTACTATGAAGGTCGAAAGCTTGTGGAAAATGCTGTCACCAAGTTCTAGGGATCGTCTCTGCCGACCCCAATACAAGATCCGTATTCCCTCCGAGTTCATCAAGCGGCATGGTCAGCGCCATATTACTGGGAGCATCCTGGCAGTGGGTCAAAAAGGCGCCTCGACGAGGATTCGCTTCCGCGAAGAACTGCTGACCCCGCTGAATGATGCGACAGAGACGGCGCTTAATGAACTGAAGGGGATCTTACTGGATTTGGAGAAGGATTCTCGGCACATTCTGCATCTGACCTCAGCTGAGCTTCCTCGAAACTCAATCCTCCTGATGGATAATTATCGGTGGCTGCATTCCCGGAATCAAGTCCAGGACCCTGCTCGACATCTCCGTCGGCTGAGGTGGGATGCAACTTTGTTTGCTACGAATCTTGAAGGCTGAGATGCAGCTGTGTTTGCCAGCATGTTTTGAATCAGGCTGCTGGGATAGCAGCCGGCGTGAGATGTATGCACTAGTGATATTATCGCAATGTACCCCACCCTACAAATAGCCAAACATCAAATACAAATGATGCTGATAAGAAGACAAGTGTAAAAGTGGATATCCCTGTGTATTTATAGTAGCTGAAAAAAAGGCAGGTTGTGCAGCTATATGCACGATTTGTCACACAATACAGACATCTGGTTAGAGCAAGTGTTTGCAGGTATTTTTAGGTCGGACATCGACATTCCACATCGACATTCCACGTGAGATGGGAGTTTTGCGGGTCGGATTGCAGTGTATCACACAGTTCTGCGTTTTGGTTTACGGTGCTGGAAGCCAAGATACATAAATGCATTGCCAAATTATATACTAGATAAACCACAGAGATTACCTCTCTATGCTTGGTGGTTGCGTGTACCTATGCCCTGACATCTTCTCGCAACCAAATACATCTTTGAGTGACTAGGACTCCCTTATTTTCTATTTTTCAAGCCTTTTGACTTTCGTCATATCTTCAATATCACTATAACGAGGACGAAAATGAAACGAGAGCGCTACGCACTGGCCGAAGTGCTGACAATTGCCCAGTTACATCCGTTTTACCATCCTGAGATTGAATATCCCCCTTGTGAAGACACAATCGAACAAGCCCATAGAAAGGCGTCGGGAGATCGGGCAGACTACGCTCTTTCGTCCCAGCCTCTACTACAGAAAAGTGCAATGTATGTGTGCATCTCAACATTTATCGACGATGCTAATTGAGTGCCAGATATAAAGCCGCGGAAAGACTGACGAATGATGTCGATCGACGAAACACCTACCGCCAGAGCTCGTATTTGAGCATCACCGGCGGTGGCAGCGGAGGCACGCCTATGATGTTTGCTGTGGATGTGCACGAGAACCGCCAGCAGAGAATTCAAATGGGAAAGTTCATTCGCCTTTGTGGTGTTGTCAGTCCCAGAGACTGGGTCCTGTCTACTCATGTCTCCGGGGGATTCTACAGGTCTTTGGACCTTATGACGGAGATCCTTGAGAATGCTGGAGCCTCAGTGCTCAGCGGAGGAGACTCCATGACCCTGGATGAAATTATACAAACACTGCTTCATTACCACGTCAATGTCCTGGCCGGCGATGGAAGTCAAATTGTCCGCGTGACTTACCATGTGGCGACGATGTCCCCCGAAGTTCGCAGTCGCTTAAAACTGGACAAGATCATCTATACATCCGAGCCGCTGACTGCCACACAACAAGCCTTCATCCGCACCACTTTAGGGGACGTCAAAATATGCTCTGTCATGGGCAGTGCAGAAGCTGGTCCTTAGGCAATTGGTAATGCCGAGCTGACGGGCGAGCACGGGCTCGTCGACGAGGATAGCAATAGCGTGTCTGATTTCGTCTTCGATACGCGCAATATGCTACTTGAGATTTTTCCCACAGCCGTTCTTGACGCCCAGGGACATTTCTCTTTTGATCCGGACTCAGAAGTTCCATCTCCACTTCCCATGGGTCAAACGGGGCTAGTGGTGCAAACCTCTCTGCAACGGCTTCGTAATCCTCTCGTCCGCTATATCACTGGCGACGTCGGATCCGTGCATAGCCTCCCGACATCTGTTGGCGACTTCATTCCAGAAGGTGAGCGGAAGCATCTGCGCGTTTTACGTATGCAAGGACGGGACCGCCGCTTCAGTTTCAAATGGTCTGCTGATTACACTGAATTCGAGCGGTTGAAAGCACTCATGCAGACCCCAAAATGGGATATCCTACATTGGCAAATCATCTTGGACCGGTTGAATTCCTCGCCAGAGGTAACGCTGGAAATCCGATTACTTCGTATTCCAACGCATGATGGTCAGTTGTTGTCAGACGAATGTCTTGTCAAAAAGCTTTGGGAATTCTTCTTCATCATCCCTGAGAACCAGCACCTCTTTCAAGTCACTTTTTTGAAAGAACTTTCCGGCTTTGAGAGAAGCTCCACAGCGGGCAAGATCATCAATTTTGTTGACCGGGTGCATTGAAGTATCTCTGTTCATAGACATTTTTTGGGAATACTATCAACGTGGTATAAAAAAAAAAAAAAAAAAAAGAAAAAGACTCGTCTCCTTAGTCATCCAGTATAGTTAACGTATTTCACCACCGAGTGAAACACCTCTGTATTGTTACCTCCTGAAATCAGGGAACTTTCCGGATTGTCACTTCCTGAGCCAAGGAACTTCCCGGTATGGAGAAACCTTCCTGGATGCATTCCTGCCTGAGGCGGAGCCTCAGGCAGTACATAGAGGCCCTAGATCCTCGCTCCTAGATAGCCTTTCCTCTCCATGGGAAAATTCCTTGACTACGAGTCATAAACAAACTTGTCTTTTTCTAAGCTCCTTTGTAGACCGTCACATGTATCCCATACTAAATCATCAATTTTTGACCTCTAATATCTCAACCACTAGTGGCTAGATTATAGTCAGATACTGAGATAGGCTATATATATAGTAGAATACATATGTCTATTTTAAAAAGATAGAAGATAATCTAGAGCTTGTAATATCAGTAAAAAGTAAATTACATAAAAATACAGCGTGATATATTTTACCTTGAAATATATTAATATACACCGTATAATATTCAGGAATTAGAATTAGATATACCTTTATATACTAATATTAGAATATAAAGTATAGGATATAAAATTTGGTTGAGGTATTAGAGGTCAAAAAGTGATGATTTAGTATGGGATACAGAGGTGTTTCACTCGGTAGGGGTGTTTCACTCGGTGGTGAAATACGTTACATCGTGACCACCTTCGTAGAAAGAGGATTGATCGGACTGTAAGTTCCTAATGCCTATTTGGTATGCGGCCCTGGCATTGAAATATTCGGTTATTGGGTCATATCCCCTGACAGACCTAATTTGTGCCGAAATAGGATGCTAAAATCTAAAACGTGTATGTTGTGTGAATGGCTGACGCGACATTGAACGCCGCTGACCCCCTTCACATTATGTAGTTCAGCTCGCCACGATGGCCTGCATACCACATCAGCTGCAGGGATAGGGATTACTGTAATGAGGGGAAACGGCTTGGCGTAATCTCAAGACGTCGAAGCTCTGAATCCTGCAGCTGGGTTAATGCCACGAGACGCGTGATTGCTGGTGCATTCTCCAATATAATCCTCGAGACAATGGTTGCAGATCCTTGAAATCACGTAATGTAGAGTCTAAAAGTACCTGCGGATGCAGTCCCAGATGTGCATGGCGCATTACCATTGCGAGAAACAAGTCTGTATGTGGTCCTGACCATCTTGTTTTTCTTTTTCATGTCGGTGATGGCGGCAACTCATATGAGGGGATGGTGATTGTAAAACCATGACATGGATTATGAAGACACCTAGGAATGAATGTCAGCTTTCTCAAAAATGTGGATTATGCACGCTAAGTGTCTAATTCTAGCTGAGAAGAGCGAGCAATTCGGTAACTCGATAGTCCGGTTGGATGGTCATACTGCCTTCCCCGAAATAATAGTGCTCCTAAGGGTCACCTATAGTGCGCCTTTCGGGCTAACAGTAATAACTAAACAATTTTTCACTGAATTTTGTCAACGAAGACAGCTTGGATGCGGGGCTGGGCCTCCGCTAAGGTTGTTTGCTGTTCGCCACAAAGCTGATCGGATCGACAATACCCGCTACTCATCATAGTTCCCAATACATTAACCATTTTTACGCGGGGCATGTTTTTCTGATTGTGTGACTAGTTTGAGAGTGAGAAGGTTTGGTGTGGTTCGAAAAATTGAGAACCGATCTCAAGCAGCAATGGCATGTTAAGCCTAGAATTCATTCTTCTTCCTTTTATATCATTCAATCAATTTAATAATATATAACCCTTGGTTTATCCTTTTCGCAATATGAGAAGATTCTATGGGGTGAAAGAGACAATGCTGGGATCTTTTACAGCTAGCCATGAAGCAGCTATCAAAATACCGGCATATTCTTTCTCTCGGGCCTTAATGGGCCACCTTGAGGTTCAAGATCCCCGTGAAAAGACAGTTATTACACAGAGCAAGTACGACGGGGCAGGACTGGTGGGCAGCCTTCATAAGTACCATACAGCAAATATTAACGAATTGGTTTTAATTGCGGGAATCATTGGGTTGCTACTGGTATTCAGCCTGAGTGTGTTCTCCTTTCAACGTACCGGCGTTTGGGTCGTGCGATTGGTAACTGGTAACCACCAGCCCATCTCAACTAGCTATAGCGACCAAGATGGGGTAGCGGCACCCAAGGCCCCGAGAAAGACGGCACCGTGGCCTCTTCGTCTGATCATATTGGTCATTGTAGTTGCTGGGACGGTTGTCTCAAGCGTACAAGCATGCCAATTCACTCGGAATACGAGCAGTCTAGCAAGATATGGGTGGTGGAATAGGGTAGGAATCTGGGTATGGGCTCCCTAGGAGACGGAATCTGCAAATTGAGGAACTGTTGAGTATAGGTGCTGATGATTAACTCAAAATTCAGATATGTAAACTACTCCAGTCCACGGCGCTCGCTATTAGCTCTTCCGCTACAGCCTCCTTTGCTATCTCCTGGAGAGCCGGGGTAAGCACCACCCTGATGCTGCTTGTTCTCCTTGCGCAAGTATACGGAACTCTTCTCTCGGACAACTCAAATACTATATTGCTTGTACTTGCTGGAAGCGAAGCAATACTCGGAACGATAGCTGGTGCTCTCTGCTTCATGATCCCCCGGCGTCCAGATGTGTTCTACAAAGGCATCATTGTTGACCGACAATTTACTACTAGCCTCCTGGGCTGGATCAGTTTTTCGTGGGCTGAGACAGTCCTACAAATGGCAGAGCGCCCTCCGTCCTTGAATGTCAAGGATTTACCAGAATTGGACAACTATACAAGAGGAGAGACGACATACGCTGCGTGGAAATCTAATTTGCGACAACACGAACCGAATAGTGCTACAAATTTGTGGTGGACAATACTACGCTCTCACAGAGCCTCGATATGCGCTCAAGTGACCATAACATGTCTCCAGTCAATTTTCGCGTTCGTTCCGCAATTGGCAATGTTACGCATTCTGATAATTCTGGAAGGAAGCAGTGGTGAAAATGGCAGAGAATCACTTTTATTTGCAGTCATAGGCCTGGGGTTGTCTGTCATGGCATCTGCCACTTTGGAAACGTTCAAATACTGGATCTCGTACAACAAGCTGGTGATCAGGGTGCGGCAGCAACTTTCGCTTAGCATATTCGAGAAGGCTGTTAGACTGAATTGTTTCTCGGATCCCAGTCCGTCGGGGACAGTGAAGTCGGCTGACGAGACTTACAGCCCGGTTAACCTGGTCGCTGTTGATGTGCAGAATGTTGTTGATTTCCTTTGCTTCTCATTTCTACTTTATGAATCCCCACTGAAGCTAGGATTAGCATTAACGTTTCTGGTACGACTCCTTGGGTGGCAAAGCGTTCTCGTGGGGATTTCCGTGCTGCTGCTGCTTACGCTGCTCAACATTCTGGCGGGCAGGAAGTATGCGCGCCTCCAAGGCATCCTAATGCGTTTTCGCGATCGCCGAGTGCGAGCCATTAGTGAAATGCTGCAAGGAATACATCAAATCAAATTTTCGGCTCATGAGAGCCGCTGGCAGCATAAGATTAACCAGCTGCGGGATACGGAGATGCGTGCCCAACGTATTGTCTGTCTCTGGCAGATCGTTTTTGTTTCGATGTCATTAATCAGTCCAATTATGCTATCTGCAACCTGTCTATCTGTCTTTGTTTTGCTTTCTGGCCGCCTCTCTGCCGCCACGGCCTTCACATCTGTCTCCGTCCTGGCCTCTATCGAGGTTGCCATGACTATTCTCCCTGATGTTCTTTCCCTCCTGCTCAACGCTCGGGTGAGTATGGAGAGAATCCAAACGTATCTGACCCAGTCAGAACGTGAGAACAAAACCATACCAGCAAAGGAGATTAATTTTGATAACGTCACTGTGGCCTGGCCTGGATGTGGCGAAGGGCGTGGGATTTTGAGGGGCCTCGATTTGCGTTTCCCAAAGGGTGCCTTGAGCATTGTGACAGGACCAACTGGGTCGGGAAAAAGCCTTCTATTGGCAGCAATTCTAGGAGAGGTCGATGTGTTAGAAGGTCGAATTATGGCCCCGCGAGCAGATGATTTTGAGGAGCTATCCCAGTGTCCAGAAGTGGGTCATTGGCTGACGGACTCAGCCCTCGCATTTGTCTCCCAAACACCATGGCTCCAGAATACCACCGTGAAAGACAACATTCTCTTCGGGTTACCGTTCGACGAGGCGAGGTATAGGAATGTGATCTTCGCATGCGCCCTCTACGAGGATTTTGCCAGTCTACCTCAAGGTGACCAGACCGCGATCAATAGCAAGGGCTCGAATCTTAGTGGCGGGCAGAAGTGGCGAGTATCTCTTGCCAGAGCTCTTTTCTCGCGGGCACGTACATTGCTCATGGATGACATCTTCAGTGCTTTGGATGTTCACACCAGGGAGCATGTCTACCGCCATGTTCTATGTGGCACACTGTTACATGACAGAACTTGCATCTTGGTTACCCATCACCTTGAGCTTTGTAAACCGCATGCGCAATACGTAGTTTATCTCAAGAAAGGGGCGCTGCAGTCGGCCACTACCGTCTCACAGGTTTCTCGCGTTCAAGAAGTCGGAGACAAGCGTGATGCATTCCTGCAGGCAGACGAGAGTCCCTCGAATGCCGTAGAAAATAAGTGGAGGTCTACGAACATATCTACGGGCAGAATACCATCCATTACTTCTAGCGGTGCAGGAAAGGAGAAAGAGATGATCAGCTCGTTTCCTCCTTCACAAGGTGCAGCGTCAATCTTCCTCAAAGAAGGAGCCAACTCGATTGAGTGGCTCTTTTTGGGAGTTGCATTTCTGACATATGGAGGCTTTATGCTTTCCCGGGTAAGAAATTCACCAGACTATCCATGTTTTGATAGATATGTGTGCTGATGGAAACAGGCATGGTGGATCCACCTCTGGACTGATCACTACAAAGAGGCCACTGATATAAATATCTTCGTCTCTGATCACCAGTACCCTGTGTATTACTGGCTCGGTATCTATCTTAGCCTGTCTGTATTGACGTGCATTGTTGGCACATGTCGAACATACCTCTCCTTATCTGCTGCACTCAGAGCATCGCAGAGTCTATTTCGAAAAATGCTTTCCGCGACGCTCCAAGCGCCTCTTCAATGGCATGAAAAAGTGCCCTTGGGTGACATATTAAGCCGATTTACCGCAGATATCAGCGTCCTCGACATGCGAGTCGGAGACGATCTGCGAGCCACGCTTGAGTACACAATGGATGTTATCCTAGCCATCGTTGCAGGAGCCATCGTCAACCCGTTCTTGCTTGGCATCTCTGCTTTGCTTCTGGCCCTATACTTCTGGTGCGCTCGACGCTTCGTTACCGCATCACGAAAGCTCAAGGTTCTAGAAAATGCCTCAAAGGGCCCCCCTCTAGAGTATATCGATAATATATTCAATGGGCTATCGACGGTCCGTGCCTTCGGGCAGGAAAATATTGTTATGCAGCAATTCTGCACCAGAGTCGGTCATCATGCAAGAGCATACTGGCATCTTTGGCTGCTGAACCGCTGGTTGGGGTTCAGGATTAATGTGCTCGGGGCGATCTTTTCTGCTGTTTCCGCAGCGATGGTAGTCTACACACCTGGGGTGAGTCCGTCGACAGCCGGATTCGCCATTACTTTTACGATCGAAGTTTCTCTTGTTATGGCCCTCAGTATTCGTCGCTATGTCAATTTAGAACAGGGGTTGAACAGTGTTGCACGGATCCACTCGTACGCTACTGTCCCGAGAGAGGACAACCCCGACCCTACTGTTCATTCTGACAATTTGGAGTCGTGGCCGCAACGAGGAAAACTTCAGGTGTCTGATCTATGTGTGAGACATGCTCCTCATCTTCCCTTAGTACTACAAGGGGTAAGCTTCACAGCAAACCCAGGCTCTAGGGTTGGTGTCATTGGACGCACGGGTGCTGGGAAATCATCCCTTGTTCTGGCCCTGTTTCGCTTCATTAAGGCCACACAGGGCAAGATCGTGGTCGACGGCGTCGATATCTCCCAAGTGCCACTACATTCTCTGCGCAGTCGCTTGGCTATTATCCCGCAGCATCCTGTGCTCTTTCGCGGCATTGTTAGGAGTAACCTAGATCCGTTTCATGAGTACGAAGACGATACACTCCTGAGCGCTCTTCAGGCTGTTGGATGGCAGGAAGTGAATTTTGGCATCTCACGCCTCTCTGAGGATGTATCTACTCCGCCTGAATCTTCATCTTCTCTCCCGAACAGCGCCGATACCTGTTTAGCGACCGAAGAGAGCTCATCCGATGCGGAGGAGGCCACTCCTTTCTTAAAAGAGACACTTAAGAACAACATCTTATCTCAGCCTGTCACAGATTGCGGCGAAAACCTGTCGCATGGCCAACGACAGCTCCTTTGTCTCGCCCGGGTCATCGTCCGTCAGCCGAAGATCATGATCCTCGACGAAGCAACAGCATCTGTGGATAAAGCCACGGATCAGCTTATCCAACGTAGTTTGCGCTCCGCCCTAGGTAATCGTCAGACGACACTGTTAGTCATTGCGCATCGGCTGAAGACAGTCGCTGACTCGGACGTCGTGCTTGTTCTGGATAGCGGGAGGATCGTGGAGTCTGGAAGTCCATTGGAGCTTCTACAACGTGAAGATGGGTATTTTAGAGGCATGATCGAGCAGGATCCAGACAGGGAGGCTCTTAAGGAATCGATTTTGGGTGAGACGTCTCAGAAAATCTAGTTTTATTACCATTCATGCAAGGAATATGAGACGTGATAAATGAGTTAAAATCTGTGGCCGCGGGATATATGCACTGAACGTACCTTCTTAGCTCTGCGCTAAGAAGGGTTGACCCTTTTTAGTGCAGCGGCAAAACTGCGATAAAATCTTGTTTAACACGACCTAATACCATACATTGCTGCCTCTGTCTATTATCTCTCTATCTCAGTCCTCGGGCCCAAAAGCACAGCAAACATTCCTTGTATACGCATCTAGACCAGCCATTCAGGGTCTTGTAGACTAGATGCCGACCCACTTGCAACAATGCCAGACGAAAGCCCTTCACCATAGCTTGGCATGAACGCATCGCATCAGAACAGCCCCTGCAACAGCCCGACCACGCTCACAGGAACCACCGAGTCATCAAGACCCGAGTTAGAGCGATACAACATTGGATAGATATACGCCGGAAACGACCAAACCAAAAAGCTTCCAACCCAAAGAAAGCCAATGATCCGTTCTCCACGCGATGCCGGCCGATCGCGGGAGGGTCTGTCGCCGCGTAGAGCGAAGTAAACAATGACTACTAAGTCTTCTATCATCATACCGAGAGCCTGCGTGCAAAAGAACTGCGCGGCCCCTGAGGTAGATATCGACAGCCCCGCCGACAGATCGATGAGAAAGTGCATGACAGCTGAGGCCGCGAAAACCATCACGATCTTCGCATATCGATCCGCGAGTGTACCTGGTTGGAAGCTAAAGACATCGCGGACCAAAAATCGAGATATCGCGCGGAATTTGTGAGAATTAGATTGGTGCCACACGCGACTAGATTTTGATGTCAGCCTTTTCTCTTGTTCAGTCTGTTATCACCGGGGAAAGAAGAAGAAGAAGAAGAAGAAGAAGAAGAAGAAGCTATGTATACCTCCATAGTCTTCGTAAGCTATACGCCTCTGACAGTGATCCATAGAAGGGGGGCCACTCCTGCGGCTCACTCCACTTCATAACAACGCTAATGAGTGCGAAGAGATGATAGCATCCGCCTTGACTCGATAACAGGCCTATCCCTGCAGCCAGGGTGGAAAAGACCCGAATGACGATCTCTTCCGTTGCGATTTCGGATAACCGCCGAAAGAATGGCACACGAGATGCAACGAGGAAGCGAGAGCTCACTTCAGGATCGCCCGTCGACGCGAGTGCATCAAGTGTTAGGTAGCCGAGAAGAATAAAACCGGCGGAGCGACGCATGAATGCGGTTCGATCGTGGGTGGTGGGCTTAGGGATATGGTGCACTTGTTCAGGGGTCCCGATGCATCGTGCATTGAAAGCCGCCCAGATGCCAAACCGCAATAGGGCTACCCAAGATGAGGTTGGCGTATTACGCGAATTTGCACCAGAAGGGTCAGATTTCTTGATTAGTGGAGATTCCCAGCGTTTCAACAAACCGATGTCGATATAATGAAGGAATAACATGACCGAGTAACCGCCCGCGAGGCTGGCCCATGGCATGCGAACAAAATAGTATAATGCGGTTGAGATACAGTGGCCAGTGCATAGTCCGACGAGAACCAGTGTACCAGACCTCAGGCTTGACTGAGCCGGAATAAAGCCCAATGTGGTCACCACCACGGCAGTCTGGAGGACGATGGATAAACGAAGAACATCTCTCAACAGAAAGCGCGCTAGAAGATAAAGAGGCGTCCCTAAACAAAGACATATACAAAGAGAATTAGACCTATAATGATCTTGAACCTTATTTAAATGAGCAATCAAGTGGTACTGCTGCAACCGTCCAGCGTAAAAGAAAGAAACCAATCTATATGGTGGTCAATTATGCTTTACCCAACCAAACTGGCGGGATCCGACTGGCCAGAATGGGGGTTTCCGGTTGCACCAACGCTAACTTAGCAAGTTATGGTGCCAACATATTATTAACAAAGAATATATTTAGATTTAATAATGATAGTAGAATTCGATCGACCTGGATTCTCAAGATGCTAATTTTGACCCACTTGATCCTCAAGGATCTACAGCTTAGCAGCCATCATTTCCGCTTCCTAGAGTCAGCGTGAACATCGAGTTATCAGCCAACCCAAGCGGCCATCCATCGAGCTCTGCTTCGCCTCCTGAAATCTCCCACTGCGCCCTTACCATCTGCAGCTACCCGCTCTCGTATCACTCCACTTGAATCAGACCCTCACACTAGTAATACTTTCACCACCTGAAGACTCTACAGGAGGGAAAGCAAGGCAGTCCCACTACCAATATGAGAGATCCAAATAGTACTGCTTAGACAAAGCACCTCGGAGGATCAGTTTCATCCCCGAGCCTGGTTCATGGATGTATCGTAACAAGGTGGCAGTACTCCGTATAGGTAGACCCACCGCGGCCTCTGAAGCCCTAACAGCGGCAACCCGATCAATTGCCGCGCCTGGCTGCCGAAACACCGAACAATAATGCCAACGGCTTAAATCACCCTCAGATGAACAATATTAACAATGAGATTTTCGGAACATTGATGGTTTGTCAAACAGGGTCACATTAAAGGCACTCTAATTTCATTGAGTGAACAGTTTTGTTGACTTGAATGACCAATGGGCCATTAAACGGGGAAGCTGTATACCCATCCGTCGATGATTTTGTAGATGCCTGGTATCATCACTGTATCCCTCTTTCATGGACAAGAGGTTTAATTCTTCTTTTCGTCTGTTCTTTTCGTTTCTGTTACTACATGAAAATGAGGACTCTATTGGTTACAGTATATAATGCGGGAAGTTTTGACAATCGCGGCCCCGCGGCGGCGACCAAATGCCGCGATTGTACTGTAATTGACAACGAACGCCGCTCTTATCCGATTTCTGGCAATGGAGAAATTCTTCAAACCAATCCCAAGAACGATCCGTCAAAAATTTCGACTCACGGGTGAATTTGTAAGCGCATTCTTCTGCCCCTGTTCCTTCAAAGCTATGGATGGGGTTCGTGAACCGAACTTGTCGGCAGGGATTTGTGATTTATCAGTGGAAATTCCCATGATGTTCATGAATTTAAGGAAAAGGGGGATGGATAATTTTAATCTAGACAGATAACACCGACTCAGGTGCCTCTGGCAATCACATCTTCTATTAACATGATCACGCCCCTCTGGACATCGTCCACGGTGCCAACCACAACCACCGAACCGCAGATGGCGCCCCTATGAGCATTTTGAGCCCGGTCTGGGTGACAGGTTCACGGCGAGGCGTACACGGTGCGGGCCTTTGGGGAATCCGGAAAGGTATTCGCCGGGTTCTGGAGGAGCGCATCGACATCCTCGTTCCAGCATTCGGCGCAATCCGGAGACACCCTCAACTACGTGATCGAAAGATTCGCGACGCTCACCATCCCAGCCACGGACACGCGTTTTCATATTCAACCGGGCTCGATCATCATCACGCCCAAGGGAGTCCAAGTCTACTGGAAGATCGAGGGGCCGTTATTCAAGACATTCCTCTTCATCTGGGACGGCTCCCAGCCAGCCACTCGCCCATTGACCGAAGTGCAAGTGCAGGAAATCACGACGGAGTTCCAGGGCTATCGCTACTGCGAGCCTGCACACGGCCCTTTGGTCGCGGGAGAGCTCCGTTACCTGCAGCACAGTGGGTCACACGGAACGATCATGAGTGGGATCTGGCGGGGAGAGAAGGTGATCGCTGGCTCGAATGTGGAGGCGGATGGTATGATTTCGGCGTCATATACCACTGTGCTAGTGGATGAAACCATTTTCCTGCTGGAAGGTGAGGTCTAAACCTTCGACAAGGAAAATGATGCCTCTCATACATTTCAAGCGGGGGATGTCATTGGCTTGACGGTTGGGATGGACATGCAGTGGATCTCGGAAGGGCCGTTTGCAAGAAAGCTGTGGATTATCACGAAGGACTCTGTTAGAACACTTATTCTTGTATCTTAGCTCTTGGGGTTGATTTTGTACTCTGAGTTGATTCATGCAATGATTATCACACCACGTCCCGACCTTGTGAGCGAGGTTGATGCTAGTTTAGTAACGGCAAAGAGTATGGTACATGTCTGTTGGACGCATCTTAATCAATCCGACAAACTAGTCGAGATGGGAGGTATTGCGCAAGCAAGGCTTGCCATCAATGGGCAAAGCGACATGAGGATCTACCGAGAGTTACGGCAAGCCCAAGAAGCTAAGCGGCTAACTTTCCAAGGGCATTATGAAGACCCCAGTTGACCATTGAGCAAGTAGAGATTATGCAGATTGAATGTGCTAGAAAATAATTTCTCTCAATGAATCGAGTGCGCTATTGTCCTCTTTTTTGGGCTACCTGAGTGAGCGATGGGCTCTCAGAATCCAACGCACAATCTTCGAACTCGTGATTACCACAATAATTGTCATAGCCTTGACCTTCGCTTCTCACTAGTTACCTTTGTAACCTCATCTCCCATCAGACGCCCATAACTTCCTCACAAGGATACAGACAATGTTGAGAGATGATAACAATAAACAACGCCGCCTGAAATCACACAGGCCAACCCTGCGCTCGCAATGAGCCCGCCCAAAGACCTGAATCTTTCGAGTAGATCTCATCGAACGTCGCATCTTCACCAATACACATTCTACAGGTGATCCTAGCATAGTCCTCTGCTTGTGCCTGTAGATCGGGTGCAAATACTCGATAGGAAATGGCAAGCATCACCCAACACTCAATGACCCTATGCATTACTACTCCCCATTTTTTGACCACGAGAGGTGACTTGTTTGCCCTAGGGAAGGTCCCACCATCAATCAAGAAACCGAGAGATTTCAGAGCTTCCAAGTATGCATTAATAATCTTGAAAGGTAGTTTTTGATTAGTATAGATCGCTGAGCAACCCAGATGAAGTTCCCATAGACCAAGACGAGGGAATTCAAAAGCCGGCCGATTGTGTGTCTTGGTCAGCATAGACAATATCGCCTCAATTTTGGCTATGTTTGGTTTTGTCCGTGATAGCGAGGCTTGTACTTCGTCCCTAAGTCGAGATCATTTATCCTGTATCGATTTGCCCACGTCCTCGTGTTCCTGACATATGGCGCAGCTGCATTTAGTCTTGGACCGAAGATGCATCTTTGGCGTACAGAAGAGTCGCATCAAAGTGATGGGTTTTCATGAGGACGGAAAGGCGATCGAGGTTGATCAACTCGACTTCATCGTCGGTCGGCGAGGATTGCAAGGCCTTGAAGTAGCTTTCGTTTATTAGCTTGTTTCCTTTTGTATTTCATCCCAGGCTTACCATTCCGTCGCGTGGCGATAATGAGACAGATTCAAAAGTGGGGTGCCTCGTACCAGTCAACTGAGCGTGGTTCCATCTTCAGTGAGCTCCTTCCGCCAACCGGATGGAAAAACCTCATCATCTTCTTGAATCAATCTGACATCGGAAGGATGATCAACGAGGATACTATAGTTTCCATCGGTGTTCACTTTCAAGTACGGCTCCTTCACAATCAATACTGATCCTTCATCCATAATCTCGTGGTCGGCACGAAATGTTCCTTGATTGTACAATTCCAATGTCACAGCATTATGCCCCTCGTCTCCTGCAACGACCAGGACACGGGGTATTCGGTATGATGGAGTAACCGTACGAAGACAGATATAGGTGCCTCTGTGATGAATCTCAAGAATTAAATCATTGATCGTAACTTTTCTCAACTCCTTCAGTGGGCTCACGCAGGGCAAGGATGGGGGATGAGAGAAACTCTGAGATCACTAGTCCCTTTCTTGTCCACCTTCTGCATGAGCTCCACGGAGCTGATCACGAGGCTTTCTGTGCTTTGGAGGCTGTCTATTCTGGGCCTGGACATTTTCAAGGGTTTGCTGATGCTTGCGCACCTTTTCGTAATAGTTCGTGGTGTCAGAGATATGATGGGTGTCCATCTTGATGATAGCGCCAAAGGGCGGAGGTGCTGAGAGAGAGGATGATGGGGGGGGGGGGGAGAGAGAGAAAGATAGTGATGAGAGAGAAAGTAGAGGAAGAGAAGGAGAAGGAGAAGGAGAAGAAGAGTGGTGAGAAGTGTGAGGCCACAAATTATTAAACCGCAATGGGGCACTGGAGTCTTATAGAGGGATGGTTGAGGTGCGCACAGAAGTCACAGCGTGACAATTAGGAGCAGTGCGTAGTAACTGATTACAGAAGATTAAATATTCAGGGTCCATGATCTCACTGACGTCGACGAGCAGTGCCGCGGAATGGGTCTGGTGGAGTGAACCATGCAAATAGGGTTTAGGCAGGGAGAATTGATCGCTCAACAAGGGGACTTGGCTACTATAAGCGCGGCTGCAGATAAGAAGGGCCTGGAACAGCTGTAACTTTTAATCAATCATATTGTCCGGCTAGAGCGTGGGAATGTCTTCATGATTACCCGAGGTCTTGTTTTCTTGGTTTCAACGAAGCCTCGTTGCTGCCAGACTGACATACAGAGAGAAAAGCAAGTGTAACTAATCAATACTTATTCAAAGACGACTCGCAGTATCCTCCAATCCCTTCACCACTTCAGCCCCTCCTTGGAGGCCAGAGTTAATAGCTCCTTCCATATAGCCACGCCACTCGCGAGAAGACTCCAGAAAAAAGGCCTCCTTGGTCCACTCCATTTCCAGAGTGTTGGCGGGTCGAGGGACCTCGGTCAATTTTCCAAAGCTCTGACTGAACTGCTCCCAGGCTTGTCGGTGGCGGGATGCTTGGGGTAGCTTGGACCAGTTTCGCCCTTTATCTCCGACAAGAAAACAAGTGATGGACCACTGATTGTCCTGAGAAATGCTTGTATCGCGGGAGAAGAGAATGGGGCCCTTCTCAGAGTCTAACACGCCCGAGAAACCGGCCTTATGCCACCATGGTTCGTCAAAAACGTAGATCATCTTTGAATAATAGCCAGTCGTAGTGTTTTCGCTTAAGATGACTTTCTTCTCCGGCAAGGGCGGGTTGAATGTGATATTGTGGTACAGGCTGGTCGGAATGGATACGATCACTTTGCGGCTGCTTGAGCTGTGTTCTTCATCCCATACTGGTTATGAAGCAGCATATGCGAAATTACCGCGCGTTGTTCTTCCTCTATCAGACACGAGCCAATAATCATAATGGGCCACATCAGGATGCACGAGTAATTGGACGGCAGAATCCGAGGCAGGTTTAGTACTGCCACGTCAAGCAGGGGTTGTAGGTGCTGCATGCGAATGGTGTCATATTTGGAAAACGGCGAGTTTGCGCTTTCTAGAAATGCTAGTCAAGCTATGCGGCATACCTCCAGGGTTGCTCCGCACCCGGGGCGTAAATGAGTATCGGGCTCTTTGGGGAGTGGAGGTTCCAAGACGTCGATTCTAGCCTTGAGATATCTGTATTCCTCATGACGGTCTATATTTGGGTCTTGAGCTGCAAACAGAGATACCGAGGATATGAGTTCGAAGAGGTGATGACCGCCGCTGAACATAACGCCGAAGGCGCCCAAATCTTGTAAGTCGTCAAATGTTTGTAAAAAGGAGTCATAAGTAACAGTTCTGTTGCAATTCATGTCAAATCGAGTGATGCTGTTGCACAGGACGATGTACGAATAGAGCTCCATCACGAATCCGTATAATTTCTGCTCGGCCGCTGACATACTTTGACGGGGTTTACTCCGCAAATTTAAGATCAGCTGGCGAAGGGCCCGGAGGTGGATGGATGGAGATCCGTCCATATTTCCGGACACAACCTGTATCCAAATTAGACGGGCAAGGGTGTATGTCACCTAAACACATACCTCTTAGTGGACGAGAATCAATATAGTCAATGCCACTCGAAGCAGAGTCAAAGGTTTGGATAGCATTCTTTGATCGTTAAACGCCTCGTAGAGGGTCTGTACGGCGGATGAATAATGCCGGTGACTGGCATGGTGGATTTCCTGGTTGTTGGGCAACTTATACAGAAGACGACCACCGCTTAAAGCGAGAATAACGTTCATCAGGAGATCGTCATTATAGGCGACAGGTAATATCCACGATACCCAGGGTATGCCCGGTGCTGGTGCCAATTTGGGCGCTGTATCTTCCAGATAGTGCGACATGAGCAATGGAGACTCTGGCAGTAGCATTCCAGCCTGTACAGTGCTTAAAACACTCTTGGGCTCCAAAGACCATGATACAACGCCATTTTCTCTCTCGCTCGTCTGTTCTGCACCTTCTGGTGTTACAATGGGATCCTTGGTAGCCGTAGCAGTAGACGGTATTGGAAGTGAGTTATTTGATTGGGCGTCTATTGGATTTCCAAGTCCCTTGCGACCATGCAAATCGTCAGAATCCCGTGTCTGTTCAGCGTCAAGGCCAAATATGTGGACTATGTGGGGAGGCCAGGCGTATTGCAGCTTGTTACGCGTGCATGCTAGGTATTGCAGTTTCTCCTCGTCGCATTTCTTTTTCCGCCGACGACAGGGGAGACAGCCCGTCCTGGTGCGTGGATTAATACGGGGCATTGTCAGAAACAGCTTTATCGCAGGAGCTGGTGGAGATGGCGCTGGAGAGGTGGAGTGGCAGCTGCGGGGGCAAGAGGCGGCCCTATTACTGAGGCATTACCTGATCATGAAGGCAGTCTACAAAGGCTCTAGAAGAATCTGTTTTTAAAATGCCTTCTTTTATAGTAATTCTCAGTTAGGATTGAGGACATATGAATTTCAGGTTCTTAAAGTTCTAAGATATACACTTTTCTCCGTGTGTGATTTGGGGTGAGGAGGGTGATTGGAATGACTCCAATACCTATAGTTAGAAAGACGATATCTTTATATAAACGAGGAACCGCGGCCGCATTTTCGCGCTGCCTCATTCCTCTGACTCGTACAAACATGGTTTAAATGCGACGGAATCTATAGAATATTTGTCAGTTGACTGATTATTATAGTTGTAAGAGACATGATAATAGACTGAATAAATAACTACACCGCCCCCTATGGGTGGCGCGAATGGAAGATCCGGAAGGGAACAAAAGAGATGAAAGCATAGAAATCTTGATAGTCTCCCGGGGGCGGTAAGACTAACAGATCAATGGCTTAATCTCTGCAAACCTCGTCGGATTAAAACCTAGTGAGGGATAATACGTAATGTCCATCCACTACAGAGTATGCAACCAGTTCGCTCGCAATCTTCGCGGGATTTAAAGCAGCAAGCAAGAGGGTAAGATTCTCATAATTATTCAGAGCATTATTTATCATAAACTCTACCCACCGTGCTGAAATAGAATATTCTTGCATTCATAGCACGCGATAGCATTTACGTTTGTTATTACTAAAAAAGCACTCTTTATGCTTTCATTCGTTCAAATAACATAAACCCATAAACACTGGAGTTCTTCTTTCTGCCGCCAGAACATCGATTTTTGTTGCGGATTAGCCGTACTAGTCTAGTCTGGACATGGGTTTAGCGTATGATATGAGCTTCTAGATTGGGGCGGTAAAGGAGTTCAGCTGAACAGCCCCGCATCATTCACTCGCATCTTGCACAATCACCGTCATGTGCTAGGTAGCAATGGCAACAGAGGATCCAATAGATTTTGCACACACTGCTATTCTGCAGGTCGCGCATATCGCATCTTCATTGGGCGTGGAGTTGAAGCGACCGGTGTGTGCGCGTCTTGGGGCCGAATTGTTGCTGGTCGCCGATTACATCGACACCGCTGGCCTAGACCAGGAGAATCGACTACGACTGCGAATATCGAAATTGCTACGTGACGTGGAAACCATATGTAATGTGTGATTGCCAAAAAACAACCCCTTGCATACACAGAAACTAAGAATCTGGACCAGTGGCCACACCAAATACGAAAGAATGGGTACCCGCTCCTGGAAGCCATAGGGGAGTCTTTACAGGGAATGAACTCCTATGAGAGGGCCCATCATAAAATCAGACGAGGCCTCGATAATCTGACTAAAGATTCTCGCAATACCGAGGGGGTCATTACGCATATCGCAAAGTTCACGAAACGTGATCGCAAAGCTTCAAGACGAGATGTTAGCGATGACACCGCCCCGACAAAACAAACAGCTCAACCCCAGTGCTCCAAACATGCGAATGAACTTGTTCACCGGGCGCTGAAAGAGGTTATGTGCTGTACATGCCAGATCGACGGGCCTGGGGAATCAACGCCAAGAGGACACCTAGTATGTCTCTTGCTACAGCCGCCCTCGCAGCAAGGCACGGGCCAGGACCTGGTGCAATTCGATATGCTGTTCTCGTCAACGCCATTATGGCAAGGATTACGGTTGAGCCGCTGGCAGGAAGTGGGTTTACTTGTTCCAAGAAGCAGCTATACAAGCACCAGGAAACGCGCCCGTTTCGCTGATGCGGACGATACGCCGCAAAACACGCCAAGCCTCCTTTCGTCGAGACGATTTTCTCGAGTTGACAGAGGACAGTTTTGCCGTCTTATAGGTGTCGAGGCTGACTCGCGACTTTGTCTCTCTGTTCAGAACGAAGAGCTTCAACACTGCTTTGAGCCGCCCAGACAGAATGTGAAGCATGTCCCCGGGATTCCTCTAGCAACAATACTCCGTAATCATCATCTACCACCACGGATGAAGGTTGTGTTGGCCTATATCATTGCATACTCTGTTTGGCAATACTATGACTCGGACTGGATGAAAACCGAATGGACAAGCGAGACCATACAGTTCATGCAGGAGGCTAGAGCTCCTGGTGACGTAGAAAAGGTATATACTTGGAAACCATATCTCTCAGTTCACTTTAACGGCGATGATCCGGAGTGTAATGAGTTTAACAAAACCCTCGGGGTTGTCCACTACTACCCAAGGATCAGAGCCCTTGGGATTATGCTGGTTGAGATCGGCATTGGATTCCCTCTTTTCAAGGAGAACAATCAGGACCAGCCCTTAGCTGCCAGAATCAACAAGGAACTCCTCACGGCCCTCGATTATACGCGAGACCGCGCGCGGTGGAGAGATTTTGATTACCCAGGGTATATGAGCGCCATCAGTCATTGCTTGGAGCCGGATACCTTCAACATAGCACCATTCGTCGAAGGTGCAAGCTCGCGGGAATGGAAAGAGGGCCTGAAGCAACGGAGAAACATCTTATATGATAAAGTCGTGTTTCCCTTGGAAGAACTGCTCCAGGGCACCAAGTGGATGAACGACTATACAAAGATCGACCCTTTGGATTTGACTCGCCAAAATACGAAATTTGAACAAGCAGGGATGCCCGAAGATACCGAAGAACGGAAAGTTTCGAAGAAGAAGCGTATCCCAACCGAGAAGGCCGCTGCCAGATGGCTTTCGCGCCTCGAAGATTTCCATAAAGAGCTCGCTCAAGTCACATCGAAAGTTGGTCTCCGCAACCCTGAACGCCGAGTGCGCATTGCAATCCTGGACACTGGGTATGACGAGGGAGCCCCTTTCTTCTTTCTTCCTGGTATCCAATCGCGATTAAAAGGTTGGAAGGATTGGGTTGATCGATCCGATACGCCTCAAGATTGCGATGGACACGGAACGCATCTGGTATCTCTGATCATGAAATGTGCACCAGAGGCAGATTTATATGTGGCACGTATTGCCAAAGATGCCAGAAACTTCTCAGATTCCAGTGAGCATATTGCGAATGTAAGTGACGCTGGTTTTTTCACCCCCACAGAGCCTAGAATTATTTGACTGACTTACGCAAGGCGATCTCATTGGCAAGCGATGATTGGAAAGCCGACATCATCTCCATGTCCTTTGGTTTCGCAGACGAGCAACCGTGCATCAGCGAGGCTATCCATAAGGCCCTGTATCAACGTCACCACTCAATTCTCTTTTTCGCAGCAGCAGCCAATTTTGGTGGCAATAGTAGAGAAATGTTCCCCGCCCGCCATGATTCGGTCATTTCGATCCGCGCAACAAATGCCAACGGCGATTTCGAAGACTCTAATCCACCAAAAAGCGAGGATGAAGCAAATGTCTTCGGCACATTGGGCGTGGATGTGCCCTCGGCCTGGCCGGATCGTGCTGATGAGGTTTGTAAGTCTGGCTCATCAATCTCTACGGCCATAGCAGCCGGGATCGCCGGATTTTTGTTGGAATACATTGGTTCTCATCCGCCCGATAAGCCATTTTATGCTGTTCAGCGCCGAGCATGGACACGCAAGGGAATGCACGCAATTTTCAAGGCTTTGGCCTCCGACACTTTGAGAGTCAAAACAGGGTACCTATACCTGAAAGTATGGGATTTAATCGGCCAGTCTGAGGATTCCCGGTGGGCCAAGTTGGGGACAGCACTTTCTGATCTTTGAACATAGAATACGATTTCGTGTAGTATATATTCATGTTGTAAATATACAGTGAACATGATCCTGGTTTTCACCAAGTTCTGAGACAGCAAACCCTCCTGCATCGCGACCGCTTGGTAGATTATCGGCGCGAATTGAACTAATCACAACCTCTTGCAAGCCTTCCTCCTCTTCCTCCTCCTCTTCATCGTCTGTATCATCTTCCTCATCGTTGCTTAATAAAGCACTCTTATGCCTCAGCTCGTCATAGATGATTCGATCTCCTTTCCAGCCTTTGACCTCAATCTTGAGAAGCTGGTATGCAAAGACAATGTCCTCCCCGGCTTTCCATTGATCTGCCTTCTCGGTGCTCGTAGATCGCGCCAGGCCAGCTCCAGCACCAACTTGACCGACCGGCGAAGGGGCGTTTCCGCTAAGCTCAACCTCTCCGCCGCGTCGTTGTGTATTTTCCAGGTCGGCGGAGAATCCCTTGGCAACCATTAGACCCGTAACCATGTAAACGGGCGTCCTGAATCCAGGGATCCTACCCGCCTTAGTGACCGCCTGAACCATAGGAGCTTTCAAACGAGAGCGGATCTCTTCTAGTGTCGGATCGTTCACGAAAAACATTGACTCAAGGGAGTCCATCGTATATGTTGATTGCACATCGCTGCCCCGGCTGCCCGAGACTTTCGCGGATACACTGTTTAGGAATTCCGCCCACACGCTCATCGAGACATCGCGACTGCTTCCTCGAGTAATGCTTCTCTCGTAGTCGGTAAATGTTTCGATCCGTGGATATGCTGCTTTTAATGTTGTCGCATCCACAGTCGTGAGAGCTCGGTGCGGTCTTAGCGGGTCTGCTATGATGTTGCCCAACGCGATCGGCCCTGTTCCGGGTTTGAAGTGGAAGTTGGGGGCGAGGATATATGTTGGCTGTTGTGCCATGCTGTTGTTTGGTGGGATAGTCTTGATTCCTAGGAGGATAAGCTGTCGGTTATCTGGAATTCAGCTTGTATTGACCAAGTAGTCTGAGCCAGTCCAGGTCCAACTGAGTGGTCGAGCCAAGAGCTAGATTGATGCTGCAATCTGAAGACTCTGGATCATTGGGATTCACAAAACCGAAAGTTGTAAGAAGGAGATTGTTCATCGTGGAGTCACGTGGTCCGATCAGCGTGGGGTCTTAGATGGCGGAGGAAACAGGAAGGAACAACACACTTTCGACTTCCACCCCGGACAGAAATGCTTTCTGAAGACTCAGGCTCGAGGAGAGTGCTGTGATGTGTGGAATAAACCAAACCCCATCACTTCCACCGCAACAGTCTCCATTCGTCTAGACTCGAAGACATGACCTGAATTTTCTCCGCCGATCTTCCGATCTGCCCCTCATTGATTGGGATCCACGCAAAATCACCAAAGGCTTTGGCAATATAGGGGAGCCAGACTTCTTTCATCAGCTCATGATCGCCATGGAGATTTCTATTTCTATCACAGAGACTGCCCAGCAATGCATTCAAGGCTTGGAGGAATGCCTGGCTATCCCAGCCTTGATGGAAAATGAATGGGCGGAAAATCGGCTGGCTGATATGAACTTATGGATCTCAGGAACAGGTGCTTGCGCCCGAGGAAAAGCCTCCCTAGACTCAAGATTGGCCTCAAAGCCCGAAGCTCGCGATGTGATCACTAACTTACTGCGTCTTCTTGCGACGGTGATTGACGAATGCAAAACACGCTGTCAAGAACCAGGACTTGACAGCATTCAAGAATCACCCCAAAGCCTCGAGGAGACTAGCGGTCGCGCGTTTTCTCCTTGGTCTGATGATTCCAGTTCTGACGACGAATCAGACGACGGAGATGAAGCGAAGTTCCCATCTAAAATTCCACTGCAAGAGTCCATGTACAATGTCGAGTCGATGGAAGATCAGCTGGCGAGGATTGCGGTTGCTATCCGACGATCCGGAAGGCGTTCAAGGTTACAAAAGGCTGATCAGCGATTTGATCCAACGGAGCATGAGGAACTAGAGGGTTACTTGATTGCCATGCTGCTTACGCAGCTAAAACGCATGGACAAAACTCGAGACGCGTCAGCACTAAACGAAGTGCAGTTGAGGCTGGTACGGTGCAACTTGAAGCGTCGAAATCGGTTTCTCTATGCTCAACGGCATTCCAAGGGGCTGGACGGAGGTATCGGCCGACGTTCAGACAAGAACGCTGCAGTAAACAGAGACGGGAGTGTGATTCAAGATGATATCATTGATCACGGTGAAATTAAAAATTTGCCCAAACTCGACCATCAGAATCCCAATAGCACTGTGATCACTGGGACCAGCGCCTCGGCACTGTCCGATTCATTCATGATGCCCCTAACAGCACCCGCAGCTCCTGCTGCGTCGTCAATTATGTCATCTACAGTCATTGACCTTGACTACCCTCATCCTCCCCGATTCCATGAGGATGCGCACCTTTTCAGATGTCCATGCTGCTGCGAAGCCATCCCGGTTGCTGTTGCCGACAAAAATAAATGGAGGTGAGCGCTCATACCTGTTTTCTCTTTTCAGGAAAACTACAACAAAACTAATGTTACCAGAAAGCATGTTGCAGACGACTTGAGTCCCTACACTTGTATTCTGACTGGATGCAATCAGCCCGACGTGCTCTTCAACACCAAGGAAGCTTGGAAACAGCATCTATTGAAAGATCATGGTAGCATGACATATTGGATTTGTTTTGCCTGTGGCAACGGGGCGCGTTACTACAGTAAGGAGCATTTCATTCAACACACAAGGTCCAGCCATGCATCGTCTATTCCATCGGATCAAATCCCATCGCTTGTGGACATCTGCAAAAAGTCTACACCAAGGCAGATATCGCACTGTCCTTTGTGTGATTGGCCAGATGAAGGAGTTGAAGTCGAGAAAGATGCGCTGCTCAATCACATTGCAAAAGAAATTCATTCTTTCTCTCTCAGAGCACTACCCTGGGCGGATGATAACGGCGAAGAAAGCGAGGAGAGAATTCATCATAGTTCCAGAAGAGTTCATAATTGGCTGTTTGAGTGTGACTCTCAACAACCGAGTAGCGATGAAACACCGTCATTTGAAAAAACAGCCTCAGGATTGGGGTACTTCCAGCAGAACCCTTACTTCGCAGGAAGCTCGAGAGACTCCTTTTCGAGCGAGCCTGAATCCGATGGATCCAGGCAAATGGAACTGGAAGAGCTGAGAAAGCACGAGGAGTTGAGAGCTGATAAATCACACCAAGATGATAAGACGCAATCCCAAGCGCAAGACGCGAAACACGATGTAAGGCTAGGCACTTCGCTTGGTTGGGATCTCTGGGATGACTTCAAACCATCACCCGACTTGATGCAATTCGAAACTCCGCTGGAGCAGGTCAATGCATTGGCAACATGGTTCCAGAAAGTAATGATCCCGCTTTGTGAACAATACGTTGAGGATCCCCCAGACGACCCGACCAAGCGGCGTGATGAATATACCAAATTGTATGATACGATGCTCGCACAGGTTTTCTTGAAGGCGGATGGACTCGATATGGGCGGGAATGAGGTGGCTCGTGGTGCACGCCGTGATCTCATTAAAGAGGGACAGGAGGTTCTTACCAAGTTGGAATCCGTTCGGGATGAAGAATTGAAGATGGACGGACAGTGCCCTCATCCTGAATGTGATGGCCACATCTTCCGAGACCTGAAAGCCCACATGCTCACTCACCAGACCGACAGGCCAGAGAAGTGCCCGGTTGGGACTTGCGATTACCATTTTAAAGGCTTTGCCCGAAAATACGACTGGAACCGCCACGTTATGACCCATTACAAAGGCGCAATGGTCTGCACTTTCTGTTCAAGATCGGTCGATCTACCGGAGAAGACCTTCAATCGTGCCGATGTGTTCAAGCGCCACCTAACCTCTGTTCACGGTGTGGAACAAATGCCACCAAAATTCCGCAAAGACTCGGTCAAAAAGGGCACCAACTGTGCTAGGGATGCTACTGGAAAGTGCTCTATTTGCTTGATGACATTCAGCAATGCTCAGGAGTTCTACGAGCATCTGGACGAATGTGTCCTGCGTGCAGTACAGGAGTCCAGTGACACGGAGGTTGTTTCTTCTTACGACGCCGATGCCGATGCACATGCCATGGCCTTAGAGCTGAGCAATAGTACAAATAAAAACATCGACAACAAAGTGCTAATCCGGATTCTGCCAAATTTGTCCAGCAACGAGGTCCTTCTTCTACGCCAGGCCTACAAGAACCGCGTGAAGTTGAACGGCAAGGGCGTTAACCTCGCTAAACACCTTGCCCTGAAGTTAGGCACCTCCAACTTTGGGAAGGTTTGCCATGCTACCGCCCTAGGGCGCTGGGAATCAGAGGCATACTATGTAACTCGTTATTACGAAGAAAGTCCTTATCGTCGTGAATTACTCATCGAGGCCCTCCTAGGACGCTCAAACAACGAAATTCGCCAAATTAAGGAGTGCTTTCGGGATCCTCAGTACCATAGCAGTCTTGAGCGCTTGATGCGCTCTAACATCCGCGAAGGTAATTTCCAACAGGCCATATTACTTGTTCTGGAAGAACGACGCCAGGACGACAGCGAGCCATATGATATGGAACTTGTGGGTCAAGACGTCACGGACTTATATCATGCATTGCATTCCGATGAAGACGGAGAGAATGCAATGATTAATATAATTGTTGCTCGGAGCAATCCCCATCTACGTGGGGTGCTGCACTTGTATGAAGCAAGCCACGGGGAGAATTTCATGAAAGCCATGAGCGCTAAGTCGAACAATTTAGTGGTATGACTGACCTCACCCGTCCTTGACTAATTTGACTGCTATTTCCTCTTGCTGCTCTGAATAGAAATGTTTCCCTTGACATACAACATGGTTCTAATGAACGATTTCTACATAGGGGGAAGCTCTCGCTCACATCCTCAATGGCGCAACCAACAGACCTCTGCGTGATGCCGTTCTTCTTTATCAAGCTATTTGCGAACCGCCTACTTATGACTATCGATCTGACCTCATGACCTCACGTCTGGTTCGGTTACACTGGGAACCACAGTATTTGGAGTTGGTGAAGTATGAATATAGGAAGCAATACAATGAGACCGTTGAGCAGGCTATTGCAGAGCAGATGGAATCATACAAAGATATTGATTTGCGGGATTTCTGTATTGAGCTTGTGTCTAGCTCTGTATAGATAGAAATAGCGGCCTTGATGGAATAACTCTGATTCTTGTTGAGTGCTTTTCTCAACTTACCTAACGCCCTTACGTAGAAAATCTATGAAACTTTTTATTATGGTCTTCGTATATTTTTATTTTGAGTATTTGAGATATTTTGCTTTCCCTTCATTTTCAATTCTATAAGCCTAAGATTGTTAGATTTCTTTTATATTCATTATTCAATATCTGATTTATAGAAGTTGCCTATATATAATAGATAAATAAGAACTTCTACCTCTATAGGTAGTACTTAGCACTGATCGTTCAAAGATAAACTTGAATGAAGTATAAATTAGTGCACATTGTATCAAAACAAAATAAAACCATCTGATTCTACCGGTAGATAGAGACCTGTGATTGCGGTGGGATGTATCACTGAAGGTATATCGTCAAAAATCACCGTAGAGCCACTCCGTCGGGTCCCAGCTATCCAATGACCCCACAATGGAAGCCAGCTGGTGCGGCTGGGAGTATAGATCCTGAATATTCCATTCTTCCGCCCAAGGGGGTCGCTTGAATCATTATGAAAGTCCTGCGATACGGACGACGGGGAGGTACCTCTCCTATTGAAGCCTCCGATCCATGTTGTGGACCCTCTCGATGCTAGTGATAAATCTAGGAATGACTCTCTGGTCTCTTGGAGCATTCGCCTCAGGTGTTCCAGCTCTAATAACCGAGCTTCAGCAGTTAGATTCCCTTTTACGGCCATTATCTGAAGGGCTTCGATTATGGATTGCATTGAGGAATCTTCATCAGTGAACAAAGACGGAAAATTGGTCTCCCGTTGGCGATGTCTGCACCGGCGGAAAAGGCACTCTCGAGTTCAAATGGTAGGAATGTTTCTGGAATAGTGATAGTACGTCAGGACATGCTGTTCAATAAAAATTAATGTGAAGGAGATATGTACTTATGAGGTGTTGGTCTTTGAAGGGAGAGAAGATACTGCTAATTTTCTTAGCCGACTCAATGCCAGCCATGAGTATATGGCGGATAGGATCTTTCCACAACAACGCGGATACTTCAACTTCTGGCGATTTTGAGGAGGAATGGTCTTGCGGCAACGACAATACACTGGAAAATGTGTAAGTGATAAGTTGTGCAGCCTTTTGGGAGGGAGGAGGGGGCGGGCAGACTTAGTGATAGAGGATATTCAAGTGAGCGGCAGTGGGCGAAATTCCGCTGCCAGAACCTGGAACAGACAGCATAAAATGAATGCTCAACTCATGGGCCACACTGGCCACATTAAGAAGCGCGTTCTGGGCATGAGGTAAGAAGCTCAATTGAGATCTTGCATCCCTGCGATAAATAGCTGAGTTGGTTATTAGACGAGGCGCTCGGGTCGATGGAAAAAACACAACTGGGGCAACTAACTATTCACAACCTGAGCCACAGCGCGGGCGAGTTCAACTTGTATTTTCATAGCCGCTCTTCGTTGCACCGAGTTTGGAAACAACGGCAAAGGGGCAGTGATGTCCTCATCTCGGACCTGATTGGCAACCCCAGTAACGCTGATATTTGACGATCTAGAACGACCACCGTCCACCAAGCCCTTCGATAGCTCTCAATAAGCTCGTCGTGCAGACTATCTGGATGCATGAAAGTATACATACCTGCCCTTCTATCAAAGGCTTGATAGTAAAGCACCATGCAGCAAAGTATCTCCGTGGTGGTAATGAAATCGTCAATCAAATATGTCGCCTCGGGAAGCAACCTTATGTCAGAGCCACGAGGACATGCGCTTGCAATAGAGTGAGAAGTCGGGTCGGATATGGTTCAAAATATCGGAATTGCCCTTTAGCCTGCGCAGCATGGATGCCTCAGTATATTCACGGGTCTCTACCTGTTCCTTTGAGCCGCCGAAGATAACGCCGAACCGGTTGTTGATATCGTACTCAATCCTGCGACGATATGCCATGTACGCGTCCCGGTCGTTCTCCCACAGCTTTTTTTCCTCCTCGATATAGAAGAAGTTTCCACCTCCTGCTTCTATTCTATCTCGGACCTGTTAACGCCCGCCGGCTCCAGACAGCCACGCCCGTCCACAGACGTAGTGCTCCATAGACTTGACTTCGGGTATAATAGCCGGTACGATTTGAATACCGCTGCTACCGGATCCTATCACGGCGACTGTTTTATCCTATATGAACGGGCTAGATATACTGGAATAGAACGGAAGGCCAATTCGAGCACAAGACCAACCTTTACGGACGTGCTTATATCCCAGTTCTCGCTGTGGAGGAGTTCACCCTGGAAGGTGTGGATCCCCTCAATCTCAGGCTAGCACCAGTCATTGAGAAACCCCTCTCCGGTCATGACCACGTCGGCTGAATCTTCATAGGTATGTCCGGTTTTTAAATCCCGGATCTGCACGAACCACTTGCCGGCAGTCTCACTCCAACGTGCACCCATGCACTGCTTTTCGAAGTGGATCCGGTTTCGGATCTCGTATTTGTTAGCGACCTGCTTCCAATATTCGAGGATTTCGGAGGCGGAGGCAAAATAGGAGCTCCAACGTGTTGAAGACTCGAAAGACAGCTGATGAGGCTGGTGAGGTGGGCTCGTTAACAACGAGGCTATAGCTTCAGAGCTATACTATACTCTAAAGAAAAAGAAGAATGAATGCGGTACACTCCAGTTTCAAGGACTTGATAGCTATATTCGCTGCCTAGCTCATATCTTAAACTTGGTTGTGAAGGACATCCTTCGGGCACTAAAGTCTGGTAGTAGTGAAGAGGCAAATGCTGCCTGCAATAGTCTCTACAATGAACAGTCCATATCTATACAGTCAGCACTGGCAAAATTCTGAATTCTCAGTCTTTGGATTGATCGCAGCCCTCAACGGAAGCAAAAGTGGAAGGGTATTTGCCGATTTATGAACCTCCCAGACAAATATATTGAATATGATGTAGAAACTCGATGGAATTCCACATATCGGATGATTGATGATAGGTTGAAAGTAAAAGTCCAGATTAATCGTTTCTAGCTCTTCAGGCTGAGATCCCTCCATTTACAGAGAATGAATGGTTACGGCTTAGTCAAATCTACTAAGTTCTTGCCAAATTCAATGAACTCACATTGTTCTTGCCTGAGAAGAAACTACAGATCAGTCTTGCTGTGCCACTTTACTATGAACTTCATAACTTACTGCACGAAGGACCTGAATCTCAAGGATCATTTTCAGGATTAGGTCATGATTTTGCAGTTGCAATGAAGGAAGGCTGATCAAAGTATAAAAAGTATTACACATTCATGGATAATTCTGATATGTAATAAACAGCGCTGATCCTGGATCCTCAGGTTAAAGGAGATCTAATCTTGAGTGAGAATTACAAGAGGAACGCGAAGCAGCTTAACAGCGAATCAGAGCCCCTGCAGGCATATCCAAGAAATAGGCAGCTGATAGATTTCAAAAGTTTTATGCCTCTCTCCCACAAACTGATATAAAGGTCTTCACAGATGGCTCAAAACTAGAAAACAGGATGGCAGGTAGTAGATATGCCCTATATCAAACTGGAAAGCTATTTTAACAGTCCTCCTTCTCCCTGGGACCGAACAAAAAGGTCTTTGATGCTGAAACTGAAGCAGCCCTAGCTAGGGTTAAAGTAGCTCTTAAACTAGAAACTGCTCGCTTTGCCACTAACCTCTGGGTCTATCTAGATAACCTGGAGGTGGCCACACGCCTCCTTTCACCCTTCGCGAGCTCATCTCAAAGGGTCTTCGAATCCTTTCAAACCCTAGCCCAGACCTGGCTGGCACGGGAGAGGCTTTTATATACTAATGGCGGCTCTGTACGAGTCTGCTAGGCCCCTGGTCACACACAAATACCTGAGAACGAGACAGCTTATCAAGCTGCAAAGAAGGGTACTGCATAGATCCTCCCTCTTCAAGCAAGCACTCGTATGCCTGGCTAAGGCGGCCGGCTGAGGCAGATGTCATGACTGCTCTTCAAAGATACTGGCAGACTACGGCCCCTTAATCTTATCAAGACTCCTGGATTACTAACTTCCCTAGATGCCCTGCAGAGCTAAAGCTCCCAAGGCCGTTTCTGGCACGGATCCTGACTGCTCGTACGAGCCATGGAGAATTTGCAGCCTACTACGAACGGTTTAATTATGAAGATGTCTACTTTCTCTGCTGCTGCAGTACAAGAAAGAATGCATTACATTTCCTCTTCTGCTGCATTGCAAAGAGGCGCCTGCCCCGACCTCCAAGGTCCCCTTCTGACATAATCCCCTACCTGCTAGGCACCCCAAAAGGTGCAACCGAGCTGGCTGCGTGGCTATTAGAAACTCTTTTCTGATATATGCATACGGCATCCATATTGATTCCGTGGGCGCCAAATTCCAAGCAAGGGCTGCAATCTCTGGTGCAGATCCCCAACTGCTCGACGAGACTCCGCTGTAAACGGAGTAAGCGACATGGGCGACAACAATCAGGATGTATAATGCGAGGACAAGCATTTCAAGCGTGGTTGTGATTCCTGCAGGACTGTACGCGTATCCATTCACCAAGGCTTCCATCGTTAGCTTTGTCGACTCGGATTCCAAACCTGCAGGAACATCGAAAGCATTGCCCCCCGGTCCGATCTTGCCGCCCTTCGGGATCATTTCGTAAACCCAGTCGCCCCCGCCCCAGATATCGGCTTGATCGACTTTCCCTTTCAGGGACGATACCATGGTATAATTGTAGCTGGAACGACCGATACCATTTGTGATCAACGTAGAGAGAATGTTTTCGACCATGACCTCGAAGTAGTCGGATGAAAGAGGGCTTGTGGTGTTATATATGCCCGCCCTTGAGGTGTTCGGTGCCAATATGGTATCATTTTTCCCCGGAAGTCTAGGGGTCAGATAAGTAGCCCAGTCGGCGGTGGGCTTGATTATAGGCCAATCTGCATGAAATGTTCCATTTTTGTCGAAAACGCCTGGTTCTCCATAGACAAACTTTATTGCATTACGGGTCGAATGAAGAGTCA